CCCACCGGATGACGGAGTACCTCCACCTCATCTCCAAGGCTGAGCCCACCCCGCTCATTTCAGCTGCTTGTATTCCATATCACCTCTTTCGGTGCTGATCTATATGTAAAGAAGCTGCGTGAGGGTTGGACTGTAGATGGAAATGTAAATCAAAATATTTTACTTTTGGCTCAGCTCCTTCACCTGCCCATCCCCCACTACATTCTGTAATCCTTGAACATCCCTGATACAGAATATGAATATTTTAATGTAGTAACTTAAACCTCTGATCACATAGATTTAACCAACTTGATAGTCATCAAAAAGTGCTCAACTGACTTGATTTAGTGTTTTTTTTAAGTTCATCCAACAAGAAGTCTTTCTGACTTCACTAACTTTAAATTCAGGAAAATAAATGGTCATCTGTTTGACACAGAGGTTTAGATGTTTTATGCTCCATGCATTACCTTTTTAAGTAGAATTATTTGACTGAACAATTTGAAGAACAGTGGTCAAATGATGTCCAGCATTAACTAAAAATTGAATTCCAAAAAGAAAAAAAACATAACCACGGTCAAGAGGCTCGAAATGTTTTGACTGCAGTAAAACTTTTGCGCCTCTGTATCTTTTCCCATCTTCCCATTAGTCAGGACGAATGGTTTCTTAAGGGTTCTTCTTGTTAAAATGGTGTCGTTTCTCTCCACTGTAGTTTTTTGCTTACTCAGTGTGGAGGATTGCATCGAAGTGAAGATTTGATGCAATATGTTGTCCTCCAGCATTTTTACTAATCAACATTATGTAATGTGTTGAACCTTATTATTTTAAATGGCATTGAAAATAATAGAATGTGTGTAATTAGATCTGAATCTGGACTTGTTTTGGATTGACTTGTGTAATTAATCCATGTGTGGTTGTTTTTGTTTCAAAATTGCAACGGTCAATTGGTCTTTTTCCATTTTTAAAATGTAAAAATGTAAAATCAACAAACCATGCACAGATTGTAATTGTTATATTTCTTTATTTGTTTCTAATTCCCTGGAAAGTGTTTTGCTATGTATTGATGCTCTAAACAAACAGATCTGAATTTAAAATATTGAGTACTTTCTGGTTAGTAGAGCCGTTGCCTCTCAATAAGAAAATTGCTGGATCGATTCCCGGCTGGGGACCTTTCTTGTGTAGAGTTTGCATGTTCTCTCTGTGCATGCGTGCACTCCAGTTTCTTCCCACAGACAAAAAACATGACCGTTAGGTTAACTTATAACTTCAAATTATCTCTAGTGTGATTGAGAGCGTGAAAAAATTGTCTCTGACCCTGTGATGGGCTTGTGGCCTGTCCAGGGTGTACCCCACCCCTCGCACACTGACTGCTTTGTGTGGGCATCAGTGACCCCCATAAAAGGAAGAAGCAGGTAAAAGATAATGGATGGAAGGGTATTTCCTGTTTTATAGATATTTATGGAACATTGATAGATCACGTATTCCACAAATTGGGGCGGCTGTGGTGGTAGAGCAGCCGGCTTTGGGACCCGCAAGTCACAGGTTCGACTCCCCGACATGCCTACATGCCGTTGTGTCCTTGGGCAAGACACTTCACCCACCTTGCCTACCGATGGTGGTCAGAGGGGCCGGTGGCGCAGCATGGCAGCCCCGCCTCTGTCAGTCTGCCCCAGGGCAGCTGTGGCTACAATGTAGCTTACTGCCATCAGTGTGTGAATGTGAGTGTGAATGAATGATGCATGAAAAATTGTAAAGCGTCTTTAAGGGTCTCGAAAAGCGCTATATAAAACTAATGCATTATTATTATTAAATACACCGATTGTCTTTTCTGATTATTTGCTTATTAGCTGTACATGGTTACAGGCAATCAGCCCTGTGATCAAAAACTTCTAAGTCAGGCTATCCAAAGGCTGATTAAAATAACTTAAAATGAAGCCAACACGCGTTAGTAACCCTGTTAACAAACAAACAAGTGGTAGTAAACAAACCACCTCCTGGGTGAAGAACTACAAACTGAGCTGGATCCTTCACCCTGCAGAGTCAGGGAGGTCTCCAGTGAATGTGCTGTGATGTTTGCTGAAGTCTGGTCAGATCCAGGTTTGATGAAACTGTAGGGAACCTGATTCTTTAAAATATTTCTTTTTGCAAAGATGACAGCTGGAGATGGTTCATAAATGCTGTGAAAACACTCCAGCCTTCTTATGTGGCGTGTTGGGGGGAGGCGGGGATCTTTATGGCTGGAAGAACCTGAGGAAGACTGCAGAGAAACACTGCTCGATGAGGAATTTATATGTTCTCCACAAAGCTTCTCCTTCACACCCTGAAGGCAGGTCTTAATTGTTAGACGTGATATCTCCACTCTCCCTCTACTCTTTCTTTGACTGCCCCCCCCCCCCCACCTTTTCTCCCTCCCTCCAGCTATTAGGAATTGGATTTGGAGCAGAACGATCCATTTAGTCCCTCTCCTCCAACTGCTATCCCTTTCTCCCCCGATTCCACACCTCCTCCGTAGGTTTCGCTCATCAAAGCCCGGGCTTAATCTGTCTATTTTTTACCTGAAGGAATGAAAGGAAGGGATGAGGTAATGCTTTTCCTGTCCATCAGGTGGGCAGCGGCGCATGGGGCTCTCTGACATGTTTAGCGTGGGGAGTTAGCACCACCATGTGGACTCTGAAAAGAAGAGCAGCAAGGAGCAGGACAGGATGACAGCCTATTCTGTTTGCTAAATGTATGCAAATATATTTCCCCTTTATGTCCCGTAAACATCTCATGTCTCCAACGTTTCTACAACTGCTGGACTATAGTGATGATTCTAAGATGGCCTCAGCCAGCTCTCTGCATGAGCTGGACTGGACATCTTTGTCCACCTGCAGACTTCTACACTGGTACACTTTCATTTATAAATAAACGAGACAATAGGAGGCACAGTCCCAAGCCCAGGTAAATGATTGTGTCAGTGAGGGCATCCGAAGTAAAACACTTCTGCCAAAAAGAAATGCGAGTTCATCAAGATGTTGAGGTTCTCTTTGGGAGCGACAAGGAAAAATGAGAATAGGAACCAGATCATCAGAGGTACAGCACAGGCTTGAAGGGCTGGGAGATCAAGTTAGAGAGACGAAATGGTTTGGATGTCCAGAGAGACAGAGAAGGATGTTAGAGATGCAGCTGCTGAGGCAAAAGATAAAGAGGAGATAATGGATGCAGCTTGAGAGGACATGGAGGTAGTTGGAGTGAGGACACATTGAGGTGGAGAAGGAGGACTCGCTGCAGGTTAAACTGATCCAACAGTGTGTAGTGTACAGCCACACAAACAGATTTCACTCACCAACGTGCAGACGGGAAATCTTGCCAAACCTCTCGGGATCAAACGTGAGTTCAGAGTAAATAAATGTGGGTAATACGTTGAAGAAATTGCCCAGTCTCAACCAAATTGCCCAGTCTGAACCTTCGGGGACTTTGAAAACATGGAAAATAAGGAAAATTGCATAATCATCATTTAAAACCTCTTCTTGCTTTTAGGTTTTATTCAATTCTGCTCCCATGTAAATATCCAGATTTGTAACTGATTTTATGGCTTTGTGTTGCACATCTCTCTTGTCTAAATAAAACCAATAATAAGTCATTTCCTGTGAATGACATAACTTATTAAAAGAAAATGGCAAATGTCATGAAAGACGAAATGGACAGATGTAAATACACGAATTAATAAAACCTTATCTGATCTGATAATCAAATGCTCCGTAACGTCTGCCAGTTTCTGACAAGTCAGATGTCAGAACAAGTGTGTGAAGGCAAAGCTCCCTCTAGTGGGTAAACACAAGTGACAAAAAAAAAAAAAAAAACTAGTTCTCGTTTTTATGAATGAAGATTTAGTGTGACAGACAATGTAATTTCAGCAAAAACGATTTGAGAAAAAAAAGATTGTAAAAATTGTCTCCATTCATCAATTTATAAATAATCTCACTAACTCCGAATTGTCAAAATGTATTCAATGGAAATGGCAAACTCAGCTAAAACTTGCCAAATCTTTATTAATTTAAAAAAAGGATTTTTAAATCAGCATTATATTAAATTCAAAGCTAAATATGCTGTATAGTATCACATCTCTCCAGTAAATGTTTGCTTTTTGAATTTAACTATGGAGCGGCTGTGGCAGAGTGGTTAGGGGAGTCGTCCTGGAGTCGGAAGGTCACTGGTTGGATCCCCCGTCCAGCTGTCTCAGTTGTGCCTTTGGGTAAGATAACTCCAATGCCTCTGATGTGTCCCATCAGTGTATGAATGCGATTGGCACTGATTAATCTCCATAGTTGATTGTACATCTCACCTTTGTAGGAGATCTGGTGGAGTGCTGTGTAAATGAGGACATAGATTGTAGTGTGAAGCGCTTTGAGTATCCTGGTTGGATAGAAAGGCGCCATACAAGTACAGTCCATTTACCATAACCATCCATCCATCCATCCATCCATCCATTTTCTGTACACGCTTCTTCCTTTTCAGGGTCGCGTGGGTTACTGGTGCCCATATCCAGCAGTCACAGTGCGAGGGGCGGGGTACACCCTGGACAGGTCGCAAGTCCATCACAGGTACCATAACTATAATTTTGAAAATAAAAATTTAATTTTAAGAAAACAAAATGGAAAAGTTGCCTTTTGAGTAACATACTGTTCAGGTAAAACAATTGACAAACAAAAAATAGTAAAGCCAGGTGAAATTTGAAGAATTATAAACTGATTAAATGGCAGCAAGTATCTTCACTGAATTGAATGAAAAGTTGAATAAATCTTCCACACAAACAAAAAAGAAAACATCAACATTTCATAAACTAGGGTGTCTGCCTGAACATTAGTACGATCAGCTATCAGGTTTACTTTAGTAACTGCTTGTTTAAGATTCTCACTGAAGTTTAGTTTAAACACCTCAGAGGCATGCTGACCTAAATGTGAAATAATTCATGTTCCCAAACACACCATCAAACCATCAAACACCAACAATATCAGCAGTCAAAAACAAAAGCATCAGGCTGGTTAATCTTTTATTTATTTATTTATTTTTATATTTGCTCACAGTATTTGCCCATGTACATTAAGTTTTTAGTAAAATTTCATCAACATCACGTTTTGGGGAAAATACAGCATTTTTGAAAGATGTTGACGCTAAAAAGGTGTGTGTGTGTGTTCTTGTATTTGTTACCCTTTTCTTTTTAAGACCGTTTCTGGTATAGACACCTACCTCGTCAAAACCAGTATCTTTATGGGAACAAAAGACCGGTCCTAATATGGTGGAACACCATTTTTAGGTTGGGGGTTAGGTTTAGGGCCAAGGTCTGAATTGAGTCCAGGCTAGGTTTAGGTTTAGGATTATGTTAAGGGGTTAGGCTATAAAAACAACTATATGGTTCTAATGAGGATAGAAATACAAACGTGTTTGTGTGTTCTTGTATCTACGCTGGAACATAGCAGGAACTTTTTTTAAACCTATGCCAGAGGTCTGCAACCATTTCTGCTACTTTGCACACTAAAAATATGTCCAGAGCTACAAATGGGCTACGTTAGGTTTATTGGAAGGGTTCTCTTCTGGCCAGTGGCGATAACATAACACTAGAATTATACAAGTGTTAACATTTGGTATTTTTACATTTTAGGACAAAAAAGGACTAAAGTAATAATCAATGTTTCAGCAACTTGTGGCAGCATGGGGCTGAATGCTTAGTGGAGTCGTAGTGTAAAACGCTTTGAGTATCCTGGTTGGATAGAAAGGCACTATATAAGTGCAGCACTTACCATTTAGCTTGTTTAAAAAGGTATTCCAAAAAAAAATCTGGAATTAAGAGAAAGATCCCATTGTAAGGCTGGAAGTCATATTAATGTCGTGTCTAATAATAAACAAGTAGCATAATCTGACCAGCATGTTTTACTCCTTGCTTTAGTATCTTTCACATATTTGTAAAAAGGAAAATAACAGGAAAACTGCTTAAGCTCGCCTTTTTGTGTTTATAAAAACTAAAATATTAAATTTCATTTTAATTTTGGTCAAAGCTTCGAAGAGCTGATTCAATAAGATTATAGAAAAATAACCTTGCAAAAACAATTTTGCGATGTAAATCTACTGTTTTTTTAAACATTATTACTTTGCAGACAGTATTAAATGTTTTTGTAACATTCCTAAAGGGCAGAACAGTTGTTTTAATCTGGAAATAAACTCTTGTTTTTCTGTATCAAAATAGTAGGAAATGGCAATGTGCCATGTTCATGTAACCTGAGAAAATCACAGCGTTATCCTCTTCACGTGTTTTTAACAGAAAAAAATTAAAATGTGTGTCAAATATTTACTTTAAAATATAAGAAATAAATCATGATAAGGAAAGTTTAAAATATTTTTATATGAAAATAGAAACTTAAAAAAGGAAAAATCCAAAAGAGAACGTGGACAAAAGATGGAGCCCTCCCTAACAGCTGTTCTTTGTTTACCTGCTCCTGAAGGCACAGAGGTGGCAGAGAAGTTGCATTATCTTCATCACTTAGAGAAGATACAGTATACCACATAAACACAGCTTCACGCTGCCGTCACACCAGGCAGAGGAAAGAAACTGTTCATTTGTCTTTGTCGTGGCTCGTGCCATTGCAGCTGTTGAGTCGGTCGACGCAACCGTTGCGTGGATGATCTTTAAAATGGAGACAGTCCAGGGAGAACCGTGGATGGTTCTCTAGAAGATGGCGAAGCTCATCTAGAACATGGAGTGGGAAATGGGAAAAAGATGTTGAAATGAACGTTTTTACTAATTTCAGTGTATTTCATTACAGATTAGGCAAAATATTTGAATCAGTCTCTGTCTACAATACTTAAAGTAGGTTTTACAAGTTTGATTTTCTGCTGCCTTTGCACCCTTTGGCCGCACACTAATGAAGTTTTTGTGAGGAAAAACAAGCATATAAAATACTTTTTCAAAAGTGAAGTGTTCTTTTTTTTAACTCTTTTGCTGATTTGTCAATCCATCCATTAATTTTTTTCACTAGCTTTTCCTTTCCAGGTCACAGTGAGCTGGTGCTCATGCCCAACAGCCATTTTGCAAAGAGCAGGGGACACCCTGGACATGTCTCCAGGTCTTTACTGGGACACATAAGCCATGTTTCCATCCAATTGTAATGCAAATTTTGAGCAAACTTTTAAAATGTCGCAAAATGAACAGAGAAAAAAAATGAAAGAGATACAAATAAGGCGTGTTTCCATCTACATGGCTTGGAGCGAATCACCCAGGCTACACAGAGTAATTACATCAGACGCTGACATTACACATGGCTGTAGTAAACAGGAAGCAGAGTTTCAGGGACCACACATGTCGGGACAATGGACAGAAGTTTTCAGGAATGTGTTGCTATCGAACAAATTGTAACTGTTCTGTCATATAAACTAGTATCGGCAATGTTGCATGCTGTCTGGAGATGTAGAGAAAGAAATTAAATTCTTTGTGGTATGGGAATATCTGGGAAAATGCCGACAGCAGGTTAATGTTCCCTACGTCAGAACTTATGCGGCAAATGTGTTTCCATCTTCTTTTCGGAAACATCCAAAAACCACCTCAAGCAAAAACGTTTTTGCAAAATTTATGAAGTTTTTTTTTCAAATTTTGCCATTTCCATCCACATTTTCTAATGTGATACTTCAAAATATGTATAAAAAATACATTGATGGAAACACAGCTATAGAGACAAACAATCATTCACTCTCTCATTCACATCTAGGGACAATTTACTGTCAGCAATATGTATAACAGAACTTCTGTGGGAGAAAACTAGGGGACCAGGAGAAAAACCCACATGTGCATGAGGAGAACATGCAAAATTCACATAGATGTTTTTCCATTATAAGGCTCAGCTCAGCCTGCCCCCAGCTCCAGTCGTCTCGAACTTATTCTACTGCAGCCCTGGTTGTGTTTGCATTGAGCAGAGTCCCACCTCGACGTGGGCTGGATCATAATTTTATACAACAATAATGGACTACACCAAACTTGAAGTAAAAGTATCACAGATTGTACCAGACCATCCAGCAGATTGAAGCTTACGATGAGAGAGCAGGGTGGTTAGTAAGCTAATGTTGGCCCCTTGTTGTTGGTAGAGTTACTTTCATCTGTGTGACGCATTCATTGTTTGTAAATTGTTGAATTATGTTGAATTACTTAAAGTGTATCTTACCCCCCACCCCCCTCTCCGTGAAAGGATAACTCCGCCCCAAGGCCAAATTTAAAAGGGTAGTGACAGGAGAGAGGAGACAGCACCGCCTATAGTGTGGGGGGTGAGCGAGGAGCTGTGGCCAGGATGAGAGAACGTGACAGCTAGCTTAATTTGACAAGCTAACATTTCTGATAGTTCTAAACAAATTCTGTTTTGTAAAAATTAAAGTTTCATGACACACACAATGATTCATGACATATTTCATTTAAAATGAACAAGTCAGCTCAGTCTGGGACCGACTTGTCTCCCTGGATCATTCAGGACACGAAGCCCTTTAGCACAGCCTCGACTGCTCTCTGTCCGACCCAGACCACACCAGCCCCGGACAGCAGAGGTGGAGTGGCCCTGACAGCCTGACAGAAAAAAAAAAAAAAAAAAACCTGCGCTGCAGCCGCTCTGCTCACAAGATCACTAATAGTTTAGATCAGGAATAAAAAAAATCCATCCCACGATCCCGACATATTTTAATTACAGTTTAATATGATTACAGTTAGTTCTTTCTTTCTTTCTTTCTTTCTTTCTTTCTTTCTTTCTTTCTTTCTTTCTTTCTTTCTTTCTTTCTTTCTTTCT